TGTGCACAGAAAGAGGTGGAGAGAGAGAGGGAGAGAGAAAAGAGGTGGGGCGTGGAGAGGGAGGGAGGGAGGGGGAGGGGGGGCTCGCTCACCCTTTGCCGCAAACTCAAGGATGAGGTAGATGCGCGTCTGGTCGTAAAAGTAGCCGTACAGCCGCAGGATGTTTGGGTGCCTGGCGGGGCCGCGGGGCGTCGGGGGGGGGGGGCGTAGCGAGGCAGCGAGAGAGCCGACGTGCGGGCTGTGCCGCGCTGCATGCTTTGGGTAATCTCGGGTAATCTCGGGTAATCTCGGGTAATCTCGGGTAATCTCGGGTAATCTTGGGCGGGCTGACGCGCTGCATGCTTTGGGGAGAGGGGTGGAGAGCGCCCGGACTGTCTGCTGCGACGGTTGCGTGCTGCTGACGGCCAGCCACTGCTTTGCAAGAGGGGTTGGCGGGCAGCCCCCCCCCCCCCCTTCCCCCGAGGGCGTGGCGGGCGTGGCGGGCGTGCACGGGCGTGGCGCGCACCTCAGGTGCGCCTGGATCTCGATCTCCCTCCGCAGCTGGTGCTCGACGCCAGCCTTGGTGAGCTGGCTCTTGAAGAGCACCTGGAGAGGCGGGGAGAGGCGGGGAGAGGCGGGGAGGGGCGGGGAGATGTGGGGAGGTGCGGGGAGATGCGGTGAGCTGGCTCTCGAAGCAGCATCTGGGCAGGGCCATGCGAGTGCTGCATCGAGTGCTGCATCGGCGAGGGGCTGAGGGCGGGCCGCAGGCCGTGGGGAGTGCTGCTGCTGCGGGGCGTCGGCGCAGTGCCGTGGCCGCTCTCCGAGGGCTGCTGGTCCCATGGGCGAGTGCGGGCTGGGGGGGAGAGGCATCTCCATCGGCGAGGCGGCGGGGGTCGGGAGGCGGGCGGCGCGGCCGAGGCGGGCGGGGAGCGGCCGGCGGGGAGGGGGCTGGCGGCCGCCCGGTCCCTGCCCATGTGGTTGCAGCAAGTGCAGCAACCTCGGACACTCTCGGACCCTCTCGGACCCTCTCGGGCGCCTTGAGCGCGACGATGAAGTGCGTCTTCTTCTCGCGCGCGAGGTACACCTTGCCGAACTTGCCGTTGCCCAGCGGCTTGCCGATGTCAAAGTCGTTGAGCGACCACTGCTTCTTCGGCGTCCGGGAGCCCTGCGAGAGAGGGGCGCCGCCGCGTGTTGCGGCGTGTGCGCGGGCTGCGCGGCTGCCGGCGCCGCGGCGCGAGTGCAGATGGCGACAACGGGAGGCGGAGAGGGCG